TGAGAATCACAGTGATGAATATTTTCCAAAATGATTCTCTTGAAATTGCAAAACTTCCTCTAGATTATATAGATTTGTTTTCTTGGACATGTCCTCTTTTGCATGAGTGTATATTACAATTTCTCAGAACAGACCAGAAGTGGACCTACCCAATTGGCTGTGTGAGAAGATGTCTACACACACCAATCACAAACATTCATAATCCTCTGAGGATGTCTCTTGCTTCTTATGATTTTGTTTTTTGATCTTCTTGATTTTTTGCTTTTCAGCTGGAAAGAATAGATTTTCTTTATCCATCCTCTGCTATGTAGCTTCCTTTTCTTTATCACTCTTTTACTTCACTACAGTACCAATGAGGATGGAGCTCATAAGTTTTTTTTTTTTTTTTTGGTCACTTTTCTGTGTCCAGGCTCTGAGAATGGGGTTGATTCCTCTGGCATGACTCCATACCACCAGAGCTGGTGCACAGTCCTAAGAGCTTTAGTGGGCTCAATGATGGTCTGAGAGTGGGGTGAATGGGATCAGATGTGTCCCATTTTGGGTGTTCTTTAGTGTTACCTGACATACAGACGATGGGGAATTCAAATCAGTAATTTGGACCAACAGAAACAGGAGCAAATACTGAGAGGATTGATTGAGGGGATTATACTTCTTGCCCAGAAACCTGACTGAATGTTCACAATGTTTAGAGAAAGAACAAATGCAGAAGTTTCAATTTCTAGTAAGCTGTAAATAGCGAAGGGGCATCGACAGCCAGATCCTGGGACAACAGGCAGAGAAAGCAAAGCAGTGGTGGTGTGGGAAGTGGTAGAAACAGCAACTTCATTAACAGAAATATGACATTTTAAAAGGTATGTTTGCTCTTTTGAGAGCTAAAGCACAGTATGTTATTACTCCCTTTTCTGTCTTACTTTTTGTATGATTCTTATAGTGATTATTTTGAGCTAAATGAATCTAATCTGTATTTGTGAAGTTATTTTATAATCCTACTGAACTACACCAAATTCATATAAAAATGTTGCCACATCATATAATTCAAGATTCCTCTGCAGAGCTGTAATCCTCATCTTAAACTCTTGTGTACTTCTGTAAGCTGCATTTTTAATGACAGTGAAGGGGTTTATTTCTATAAATGACACTGGAATACAAAAACACATGTAATTAAAATTAATATACAGAAAATATTGGTGACATCAAGTTTTATATATATAATATATATATATATATATATATATATAATATATATATATATATATATATATATATATATATATATATAGCCTCACTGATTGTTATTGTATTTGATGAAAATATATAACAAATGTATTCCCTGCAGAAACCATTTAAACATCTGGTCAGGAATTAAGAAGCATAAAAATCTATTATCACTTTTTTATTCTCTAAATATTGAGTAAATAAACAAAACAATTTTGAACTTCTAAAACAAATAAGGGACTCAATAGACTAATTCCGCATTTGCCTTCATGGAGACTCACATTGACACAGGGAGTTACGATGCTTATAGTGCGTGATATGGTTGTGTTTACCCAACATCATTACTGTTAATAGGATATTTATTTTGGGGTTTTCTCCTAATCAGCTGAATGAATGTGATGAACTTCACTAAGGTGACAAACGTTGCTCATCAGACGGTTGAAGAAAAGAAACGTGGAGGATGATGAATAATAGCCCAGCTGGCCGTGTTAGCTGCAATTAGTCCATGTGAAGTCTGACAATTATACAGAGAAAAGCTGAGACAAAGCCACAATGCTGCAGCTGAATCAATACATAATTGTAATAATTATCATCCTGGTGTCATTTGTGGACATGTCGACAATTCCAGGATGGAATTGGATAAACACAGAGGCTTTAAATGGCAGAGGGCGTTGCTTTCTCAAGAGCGACATTTCGAACAAAAGGTAGCCTTGATACCTGGCGTGAACAGCAAAGAGACACAACTCAGGATTGGAAACCTAATTATCTTGGAGCTAAACTTTTGCACATAATCAAAAGTCATGTTGAAGAGTTTTCATATTATATTGTACTTTTCTTTACATTTTTCTGGAAAATCACTAGATATGTATCACAAAGTGTACATTTCTTTACCTTTTAAGTCCATTTTAATTAGTGAACCATAATTGGTGTAAACCTGGTAAATTTATCATTCATAATATTTGCATGCCACAGTCAGAAAAAAAAAAGTTTTTGATGATAAGTAGCTTGTAAATGTGTCGAATGCATGCTCTGCTTGTTTCTTGTTGTCTCAGTTAATGCAATATATTCATACTGATTACACAAAACGAGTCTTTTAACTGTTGTTATAACTGGGATTAAAACCCCTGCTTACTTCTGCCTGATCTTTTTTTATAAAAATCTAGAATGAGCATGAGAAGATTTAATCTATTGATAAGCAGCTTTTAGGCTTCAATCTAATTTATTTAAATTTATTTGGACAAATTAGACAGACAGAGGAAATTTGAAACTGTAAGAAGGAGGATCAATATTGAGCCTTATAGTTCCTGTTTAACCTACTATGTTATATAAAGACTAGCATACATGAATTCAATTTCAGATATAAATTTGAGTAAGCCTAGAAAAAAAGAATCTAGAAAGCATAATTTATTTTCTTGTTTTTATAAATACACAAACAGAGACAAGTATGGGAATAAATCCTAAGCAGTGAATCATAAATTAGAATGACAAACAGTGCTGCTTGTGTTTTTCTGTCTCTTATCTCCAATCCAATTTCCTCAAAATATACTCAAGCTACTACAAAGAGATGGGTGGAAGAGAGCATAAAATTGGTAGTTGTTCCTATCTCTTGATAAATGTCAAGCATCTGTCTCTTACTCTTCCTTTTATGTCATTCCGCTTCCACAAAAAGGCCAATATTAAGAACAAAAAGCTCTTTAAAAATCCCTTTTATAAAGATGCACTTACAGAAACTCTGCCTTGCAAATTTCACACCCCCTTAACTTTGTCAGGTAACAAACGCAAACTTCAGTGTGTTTTCTTGAGATTTTATGTGAAAGACCAACACAAACTAAGAGGCAGGGTCAGTTCCTCACAGGATACACAGGGAAAACAACCATGCAGTTATAACTATGGATAATTTAAGAGACACCAATTAATCTAACAGGATTTTGGACCATGACAGGAAGCTGGGGTACCCAGAGAGAAGCCAAGCATGCAGAAGAAGAACAGGCAGAAAAACAATTGCCGGGATTCAAACCCAAGACTTCCTTCCTGCAAGACAACATTGATGCCAATTTCTCCACAATGCAGCCCCTGATATAATAGTAAGTTAAAATGATTCACATGATATTTTAGTAACATTGCGTAACAATAGAACAACCAAACTTTTATATGTTCAATGAAAGCATTTCAGAAGTTATTTTTCATAAAACATTAACAAAAAACAACATTAAGAAGATGATAAAAAGCAATAAATTGATCATAAAGTTGAAGGAAATTGTTTTTTCAGCAGAAACAGAGGAGCTGGTAAGAGCTGAAGCTAAGTATTGAGACATTACAAAAAAAAAAAAAAAAAGAAAAACCTTCTCTAAACTGCTGAAGTACCAAAATACTGGAGACAGGGCTGTTGGTTTAGTTTCCTGACAGACGATTTTTGGGCATTACGCCCAAATTAAATTGTTTAAATTAAGCATTTCCATGCCTTGCAGTTCAGATCGAAATGGCATTGAGAGTCTGTGGTACGACTTAAAAATTGTTATTCATGTTCTCTCACTATGTAGTCTGACGGAGCCTAAGCTATTATGCAAAGGATGGTGGGCAACAAAAGGAGCAATTTTTAGATGTTTAGAAGTTTGTGTTTGGAATAAAACAAGTGTAAAGGTCGGAAAACTTTTCCAAAGCTCTGTAGCTCCTATGACTGTTATTTGGATTAGCATGTTCTTTAATCCTTAGGTTATCAATCCTATCCTCCGACATAAGATGAAGCCACATTTTTTCACCGTCTCAGGGTTGCACCGTTGCTCTTTAGCATTTTCAGCCTGAGCGTTCGGGTTTAGGTAAGAGTCACAAAGGATCTCGCTTGAGTTCTCTGCACCCTTACGAGGTCGTGATACTGCAGCATGTGGCCAGAGGTCCACAGATAATCCCTTTACCAAATTTTGCCTGTGGGGATTGTACATCATTCGCAATCATATTAAACCACTAAAGTCGTCAGCCTAAAGCGCTGCAAATTCACTTGATGTGGTTGTTGCTGAGGTAAGACACTGGCATAGTACCTGCAAGGAGGGGGGGGGGGGGGGCAACATGTTGTTCTCTAGTCTGTTTGGAGCAGGTGTGAGGTCTTTTTTTTTTCTATCCATGATCAAATCTAATTTGTCAGGAGCTGTGGAGATTGGATTGAGCTGATAAAGTGACTTAATTTTCTACAGTTGACTTTTCTTTCGTCTAACCTTTAAAATAAAGCCCTGGGGTCAAAGCTTTGATTTTTCTTTAAAGACAATACTTTGTTCCCACTTAATGGGTGGAGAACATATTTCGTGATTTATTTATAGAATGAACCCTGAATTGTTTTAAAATTATGACTTCGGCTTACATAAAAACATATAACAACTGAAAAAACGTCCTACTTCAAACCTAAACGCTGCGCTGGGTTAAAACGGTTATATATGTGGACAGATCCAAGCGAGGCTGAGGCTGATTCAGTTCACTGATTGATTCGAGCGACATTAGCGCGTTTGACGTCAGAAACCGCAAACAAATGACGCTATAAAAAGAGTAAACCTGTCCGCTAAAAAAATGTGAAAGACCTCCCAGCGCAGAGAGAGCCGCAAGCGCACGTTCACCTCTGCCACAGCTGACCGTCTATCTTAAAGATGCCTCTCTCCAGCAGCTCCACTTCCTCCACCAAGAGCATCCGCAGAGCCGCGTCCGAGCTGGAGAGGTCGGATTCCATCACGGTGAGAAAAAAAAAAAAAAAAAAAAAAAAACATATGGAAAAAAAATTATAATAATCATCAAGTTTGCTCATTTGGAAGAGTCTCGGTGTATTTACGCGTTTGGTAAGTTGTCGAAATTCGGACCACCAAATTTGGATGCGTCCAGTATAAAGCGCAAAACCGAATTTACGCAACGCCATGCACTGGCGTTGCGTAAATTCGAGTACGGTGCCCCTCAGTCCAGCCCGAAAGAGTGCTAAAATGTATACTGTGGTACAGTTATGTTTTAGGGTTTACCTCGAATGCATTGCCGTCCCAATGCGCATTTGGAGATGTAAAGCGCTCCCGTCCGACACCCAAAGACAAGTCCAAAAAGTAAGAATAGACAAGCAGTTGCCTGCATCTGATGTCGCGTGGTCTGCCTGGGAGATGAAATCACATAATGCAGGAGGGATATAAATAAATATATATTTTTTGCTCCTATGACAGTCTCAGAGATTCATCGGGAGACGGCAGAGTTTGATCGAGGATGCGCGGAAAGAGAGAGAAGCTGCCGCGGCAGCCGCGGAAGCAGCGGAGGCCACCGAGCAGATCGTGTTTGAGGAGGAGGACGGGAAAGCGCTGCTGAACATCTTCTTCACTTTGAGGAACTCGAAAGCACCTGCACTGTCCAAGACACTCAAAGTCTTCGAGGTACGAGGCGGATTGATTTGAAAGTTGAACTCGGTGTGATTTTGTTGGCTTGAGTTGTGTCAAAGTTCAAATGTAATTCATATGTTCGCCCAGGCTCTTGTATGAGCGATGCGTGTTAAAACCTTCCACTCTATTTCGACCAGACTTAAATCGAGGTTTCTCAAGTTAAAAATGAAAATAGATAATTAAAAAAAAGAAAGAAAAAACGAAAAGAAAAAAAGAAATCAAATTTAAATTCAACCAGAAATAATACAATCTGACAGTTCTTTTGTGTGAGCAATTTAGAAAGACTTTTTGAATGATACATTATCCACAAATGTATCTCGTATATGTATTACAGAACTATACAACAATGTATTATAAATCTTCAATTTTTATATAACTTTTTTACAAGCACATATTTGGAAGTTGAATATTCGAAATCTCAACAATCACACACACACACACACCCACACACCCCCACACACACCCACACACACACACACACCCACACACACACACACACACATATATATATATATATATATATATATATATATATATATATATATATATATATATATATATATATATATATATATATATATATATATATATATAAGGCTTTGAAATACATTTTGCCTAAAAGAATCTTGAACAACCAACATGTATTTTTCTCTCCAAATTTTAACAATTTATACAAGGTATTGTGGTGGGTTTGAAAGCCAGCATTCACTACACACTGGGACGCAGAATTATGAGTCTAGTTTGTTTAATAGAGAGGAGAAATGTATGCAAAAAAAATATATATATATAGAGAGAAAATCACCATTGTACAATGGAGTTGTGGCTACTGTGGAAGGATCATGTGTTGTCCATCCTTCATAAGTGTGCTGACTGTATTTCAGACTTTTGAAGCCAAAATTCACCACTTGGAAACTCGACCATCTAGAAAGTTTAGGGAGAACCTTCAGGGCCTGGAGTACTTTGTGCGCTGTGAGCTGCACCTCTCAGATGTCAGTACTCTGGTCAGCTCTATCAAGAGAAATGCAGAGGATGTCAAAACCACCAAAGAAGTCAAATGTAATAATATATTTTTGCTTCAGAGATCATCTGTACAAAAAAACTGCTGCTTTGCTCAAATAAGAGCCACAAAGTATCATTAAATTTTCATGTTTTCTTTCTACTTCTTCTGTACCAGTTCATTGGTTCCCAAAGAAAATAGCAGATCTGGATAGATGCCATCATTTGGTCACAAAATTTGATCCAGACCTAGATGAAGATCATCCTGTAAGTAATGCATTTGCCAGGAGCATGGAAGAGCAGAAACACAGATCACAGTACCAGGGGCTGTTATGACTTTGTGCCATTATGTCATAACGCAGACAGTCTGACCAGTGTTTTTTGATATATTTGATTTGACTAGGGATACAGAGACCCTGTCTACAGACAGAGAAGAAAACTGATCGGGGACATTGCTTTCACATTCAAACAGTGAGAAAAAGCCGCTTAACTTCACAGACAGAAATGAGCAGAAATACTTTGAGATTTTCTGACAAATGTGTGTATATATCTGTGTCTGCAGTGGGCAATCAATTCCCAGAGTGGAGTACACAGAAGAGGAGATTGGCACATGGTAAGAACTTACAAAGTAAAAATGACTGAAATTACAAGCATTGTTTTTTTTTCCCCCCCCACATTCATTCTTCCACAGAGTAAATTCAGTCTTGCTTCAAAGAAGTTAAATCTTTAACTGTGGCAGTTGTCGTGTGTGACACGGCGTTTGGGGCACCAAGAGGTGAAAAATCAACCAAATAAAACAAAACAATAAAAACTTACCCTAAGCTACTTTTGCACAGCTTATCTGAATGTTAAGTCAATGGGAGTGGGTTGCCCCCCGGGGTGTGCAGAGTGTAAGCACCAAAAAGAGTTTGACTGATAACACTGCAGCTATTGTAATTTGTAGCTCATGGGTTAGTGCTTCAAAAAGGAATATTTCTAGGTTTATTCAGGAGTCTGAACCGTGTTTGACTTTTTATAGTTAAATAAGAATTTATTATTTTTTTAATGGATGATTCTCCACTGAACAACATTCTTTGAGACAACTTAGATTTTTTTTAAACCACTGTGAGATAAAATGTGGCATTTATATGTTTTTTTTTTTTTATTTAGATTAGGATCACCTTAGAATTGGACAGGTTCCAAAAGCACATCATATACTCTACCTATCTGTCTCAATATTAGGTTAGTAACAGTTTTTAATGTTTCTGAAAAGTTAGAGTTAAACATTTTTCAGACTTAATCTGGATAGTCGTTGGATTTGGGGCACCAGAAGAATGACACCGATGAATGGAATTGCCAGTGATCACAAATAATATCAAATCATATTTTTGTGCAAAATATTATCAATTCTCCAGTAAATGATGCACAGCCAGAGGGCAGTAAAGGAGCATTCAGTTTGCAGTAGCCTGGGTGTGTCTCACAATAAACAGTGTCATATTTTGCAAGTTCTTCACAAGTTCTTAATATCTTGCTGTGGTTCTGCCAATGAATGCCAGAATTCAGATTTTTATGCAGAATTTTAAATTTCAGAAAACGAATAGGGTTCCTTATTTTACCCTTTAGCTTTCATAATGTTTTATGGATTGATTGATTGATTGATTGATTGATTGATTGATTGATTGATTGATTGATTGATTGATTGATTGATTGGTTGGTTGATATAAAAAGTTATGAAACCAACTATTTTAGGCACAAATTTAATATATATATATTTTTTATTGTTAGACATCTCCAGATACTGAAACATTTTTGTAACAATAAAAAGTATATTCTAAAAGTATGTTTAAGATCAGCATAGTACCAGTATTGCTATAGGTTTAGTAACTAAAAAGTAAGACAGATGATTTGTCCTCATTGTAAAATCAATACTTAGAAAATCATGTCCTTAAGTAATTTGTGATATTTGCAATAGTCCTGATTTCTGTATGCAAGAGTCCTGCTGTGAGGAATCCCTTTGCAGAATCTGATGACGTTTCTGTACAGGTGTGTTGGCAGCACCACGCTTCTGAGCTCTCCCTGCAGAGATCCTCTAAAGAAAAGATGTCTCACTTACACCAGCCACACAGAACAGGGTAACAACAGTAAGAGTCTCACGCGGGACTGGCAAGATACAGGCTGTTTTTGGAGAATATCTGTGAATTTCCACCAGCAGGTGGCAGTGTGAGGTGTGACTCAGTGGAATGTAAAGAAATAACTAACTCCAACCTTGGCCCCAAGTTATTTGAGGAACTTGTTCTTGAATAGCTGTGTAGATACTTCTATTCATTGAAGGATTTGACACAGTGTTGAAGATAATAAAAATATGACGGAAACGTAAGTCTGATCGAGTCAGGAGTAAATTCAGTATAATTTTTTTCAACCTTTTTGATCATATTTTCAGTCCTCAGTTAGCATCCCCTCTGATAAAGCAAAGAAGCTTTAGGAAACTGAGGTTTGACTTTGTTTTATTTCATTTAGGCGTCAAGTCTATTCGACCCTTAGAGACTTGTACATCACCCACGCCTGCAAAGAACACCTCGAGGCCTTTCGTCTGCTGGAGAAGCACTGCGGCTACAGTCCAGACAACATTCCCCAGTTGGAAGACGTGTCACGCTTCCTTAAAGGTATCATCTGAATGTAATCTATGAAAGGAATGAAACCTCAGCACAGATGTTGTGTGATCCCACAGTCTTGGTGTGTTTATAAAATGTTTTGAACTGACGCAGAACGCACAGGGTTTCAGCTGCGTCCGGTGGCCGGCCTACTCTCAGCCAGAGACTTTCTGGCAAGTCTGGCATATCGCGTGTTCCAGTGCACCCAGTACATCCGACATGCCTCTTCCCCTAATCACTCCCCTGAACCGTGAGTATTAATATGCATCTATTGGGGCACAAAGTAAAAACTAGTTGTACATACTACATAAAATTCACACAGTAGCTTTATTTTCCTCCTGTCTGATATTATACTCTATCACTTCCTTTTCATGTTGGTTAGGATTACCAAATGTATTTGCCAAATGCTAAAATTACAATTGTTTTTCAGACAATTCTTCATTACTTTGGTTAAATTTAGAAGTTGGTGTATACTAAAATAACCATGCTCTGAAAAGTGTTAGGAAAGCCCAACTGATTATATTTATGACAAGTCCTTCCTACTGGACTATAAAGCGACTCAGGAAGGAAAAAGCCATTCTCCAAAAGCAACATAAAAAAACACAAACATCTTGCAAATGCCCATTTGGGTAAAAAAGTCTTTGGAGTCATGTTCCATGGTTGGATGAGACTAAAACTGAAGGTTGACCAGAGTGGCCTATATTTGGAATAAAATTGAGAAGCTTTTATGACTGAGAACACCAACCACAAATGTGAAGTATGATGGTGGCAGCGTCATGTTGTGTAGGTGTTTTACTGCGGGGGAAACTTGTGCCCTTCGCAAATGGGTTGACATCACGGAGATTGAACATTATGTGGGATATATTGCAGCAGCTTCTACAGACAACAGCCAGGAAGTTAAAGCTTGCAACAAATGGGTCAAATTAGATACAAAGTGGCTTATAGACTGAACAAAGTCAATGTTTTCTTCTGATTTTAACTCCACTCCACTCTAAGATTTGGGGACAAAGCTCAAAAGATGAGTTTAACAAGACATCTTGTTAACCCGACTCTAACCCGACCTGTCTCTCTACTCTAAGCTGGAAACAGGATGAGGTGGACCATCCTGTACTTGGAGAAACTGGTTTCAGCGAGTTCAGAGAAACCCCTCTACTCCTTATCTTTAAGTTTCTGTTTTATGACTGACCCCCACCCTGCTTTGAATAAAACCAGGCTGTTGAAGGGGGACGAGTTGGAGTTGTCATGAGGCACCATTGAGACTCTCCCCCTTTGCTGAAGTGATACTACTCTCTGTGTGGTTCTGTGTATGTACAGGTTAAAATGCCCAACAAGAAGCTTCTATAAAATATCTCCTACAATTAAATAAGATTTGAAAACGTCTCCAAATTATATTGTTCGTTATTCTAGCATGTAGCAAATATAACATATTTTGGTAATCCTGCCTGATCTAAAACAAATCAAGTTTGGTCTGGTTTAATGTCAGAGACAACTATTGGTTACGGGTCTTTTTGGGCCTGAGGCGTTTATTTTTCATTGAGGTGCAGCTTATGTCATCATTTCTGTGCTTTGCAAAATGCATGTTGGATCAGCAAATGATACCACAGTAAACACAAAAAGTTTTTGAACCAAATAAGTCAGTTAAAATTATTTAGCTGAATTCAAATGATTTTCAAGGAATAAATGAGAAAACGTCATTTTGCTTCTTCAATTTTCCTACTTGTTTCATAGTAAATTGCATTTTTGTTTTGTGTTCTGTCCAACTCTATTGTTTTGGCCACTACATGGAGTCACCAGCATTCAGTGAAAGTAATCTAGGCATGTTTCCTCAGATTTTTCTTTGCGTGTTCAAAGTTGAGTTTGTCTTTACTTTCAGGGACTGTGTCCATGAACTCCTGGGCCACGTCCCCATGTTGGCTGATCGCACTTTTGCCCAGTTTTCACAGGTTAGAGTCCAACAGCTTTCAGACTGTGTTCTACAGTGTGGAGCATTAATATTTCATGATGTCTTTTGATTTTGTTCTGCAGAACCTTGGCCTGGCATCGCTAGGGGCATCAGATGAAGACATAGAGAAACTATCTACAGTAAGACTCTTGTTCTGACTGCAACAAAATCACTGAAAAGACTGCGTTTAAGCTATAATGTTACAATACGTGACACACATGCAGTTAATTTTGTTAATAGTGACACTATTCTTGTTTCTCTCACCAGCTGTACTGGTTTACAGTCGAATATGGTCTCTGTAAGCAAAACGGTGAGATTAAGGCTTATGGGGCCGGGTTGCTTTCTTCCTATGGAGAGCTTGTGGTAAGTTCCAGGATATTTGTTTTTCTTTAAAAACAAGAAAACACAGCCGAGAGAACTCTCATATAACTCCTGGTCCTCATCACCTCCTTTCAGCATTCTCTCTCTGATGAACCAGAGGTGCGTGAGTTTGATCCAGAGGCTGCAGCGTTGCAGCCTTATCAAGACCAGACCTACCAGCCAGTCTACTTTGTTTCAGAGAGCTTTCCAGATGCCAAGGAGAAGTTCAGGTACTTACTTTTTTTATTGAATTATACAGATATATTAGATCATATGAAAGGAGAAGAAAGAGACAGAGAAGAAAAAGAACAAGAGGTTGTGTGAGGACAAGGTCAGAGAACAGCCAGCCAAGCCTGAGGCCACAAACTTTTGTAGGTCAGCCATAGCAGCCAGAAGACAGCTGTTACTAATATTGCCTTTCTTACCAAGGCAAAACTCTGCTGTTTTATTTGGCAAACAGATAATGTTGCTCTGCAAAACAAGTAGCTTCAGTGAGTGTTTTGACAGTCTTTAGTCTGCAGTGGGATACAGCAAATGACATAAGAACAAGGTGACGAGATGAGAAGATAGTCAGCATGGAGATGTTTGGAAAAACAAATCAAGTAGGACAAAGGATTTTTTTAAATCTACTTTGTAGGGAAATGTTTTCTTATTTTTTTATTAAGTGCTTTTATACATTGATATCTCACTCGATCCTCTCACGAATTTTTACCAGAACATACGTGGCAGGTATCAAGCGTCCCTTCTCGGTGAGGTACGACCCGTACACATGCAGCGTCGAGGTCCTGGACAATCCTCTGAAGATCCAAGGCGGTCTGGAGGGTGTGAAAGATGAGATCAAGGTGCTGACCGATGCCCTCGCCGTTTTGTCATGACGGCCTTTGCCGGTTGTTTGCTTTCTCTATGCTGAGCTTCGCAGTGTCCAAAGTGTGACGAGACTAACGTGCGTATCTGTATGTGCTGTAAATCCAGTATGATGTTGAGTCGGTGCAGTTTGTGTGTGTAGGGAAAGGGCCAACGACGTTGACCTCTTCCCCCAATGTGAATGCATTTGTGGAAAAATGTTCTGTGGTTCTGCTTGACTGGAAAATGCCATACTTTAATATGTAAAAGTGTTCACATGTACTAATACCGGAGCCACAATCAATGAGAGTTGTCTTTCTGAATGTATTCAAAGAAAATGAAATATAGAATATAAATTATTTTAAAATCAAAGAAATGTCGCAGTTTAGTGGAGATTGTAGTCCTTTGTTTTACCAAATATATATATATATATATATATATATATATATATATATTGTAAGTGCTTCTTAAATTATTTATTTTACTTTTTTGCATTGGATAGGGGTTTTCACATTAATTTATGTCATTATCTGTGCTGTATTTGCCTCATTTGGTTTTACATGCATGATGAAAAAAAGTAAAAAAAAAAAAGAAAGAAAATGAGGTACATCCAATAACAATTGCAAATAAACACTCTTAACTAACAGTTGTTAGTTTACTTGGGTTTTGCACTGTGTAAATTGTCAAAAAATAAAATAAAATAAAGTAATTTAAATAAAAAAAAGACGTTCTCATCTATATGCCACAAGAGGGAGCACTCCTACCAGTTGAAAATGTCTGATTGTAAAGTTTAAAGCTTTCACTATGGAGATTATCTGATGAAACAAAAATCTTGTTCATTCATCCGGAAAAAACCCCACAATATTCTATTTTTCCAAAACTTATACTTTATATTATGGTTTTCTTTTCTATACTGAATTATATGTATGCACCTACACCATAAAACAAATTATTAGAATTGAATTACTTTTACGCAGGATTGTATTCAATATTAAAGTCTTCTAGATAAGTGTAATGGCTGAAGACAAATGAATTAGTTACATTCTAATTGTTTTCTAAGAACTCATTTAATTACATTGTAACTGAAGAAGTTAAGAGTGGATAAATCATCATTCCTCATTTTTATTTAAACAGGTACAGCTCAATAAATTAGACGATATGAACAAAGATGGAACACAAAAAATGTATTTGTTGAATTTTAAAGATGGTTAAGCCAAAAAAAAAAAAAAAAAATCCTAAAGAGGTTGACTGGCCACAGAATTCACACAAATTAATGAAAAACTGAGTGGCAGGAAAAAGTGAGGCACAGTGTATGTATGTATACTTTTTTGAGATCCTGAACTTCAGGCTTTCTTCATCTATAAGCCTTAATCATCATCAAAATGACCAGAAATTATTTTTTTTCAGCTGAATTACTGAAATAAGTTCAAGCTTTTCATACATATCAGCCTTAAATTCTATGTTCGATTTTAAACAACTGTTGCAGGTCGCGAAAACATCAACTAAGAATCAAGACATTTATCAGGCCAAGAATAGAAGAATTGCAATACATTTGTTCTCAAAATGCACTCCCCTCGAAAGTTATTTTCACAGTGCACTCAAAGGATCGATGATGCATGGAGCTTTCTCGTCGGCAGCTCGTTGTGTCTGATCCTGTGACAAGACAAGGCAAAGTTGAATCTCAAACGCCTCGGCGCAATGTGGAGGATTTGGTCGGGACACATCACCTACTGCCCGCTCGAGAAAACCAGACCTCCGCTCACATCATTCCCAGCCGCGAGACAAACAAACGGAGCTTCGCGATCTGGACCAGTAGGTGTCAGTCTGACTTTGGAGATTTCGACCTTTTAATTTTTTTCTGAAGAAGATACTTTCACTATCATTTACAAAATGATGTGATCTCCCTTGATATAAAGTTTAAGATATTTTCTTTACACTAAAGCTGCTCCTGTTGAGTTAAAATTCTGGGATCTTGTTGAAATAAAACTTGACTTGTTTGCTCTCTTTGATGCCACAAATGCGGATTCTTATTTATTCATTATTTTTGACCCCCTGATGGCTCCAATTGATGGCTGTGTTAGAGTCACTATGCATCCTGCCTCTGTGCATCAGCATCGGGACGGCAAACCACAGTCCAATCTTCCACTTTCCACGGTCAGACCATCTTTGACTCCCCCCCACGCACCCCCTCCATTTACTTTTATATGCACACCTGAGTCATAGGACAGCCCGCAGACTCTGTGCACAATGATTCCACTCAATCTTAATCTTAATTACAGCAGGGCGGAGACATTGACATTTTTCTTGGAGTCGCAGGAATTACGAACTATTCTCGTTCAGTCTGCGCCCTGTGTAAACAGTGTGATTGTAGGTTACAGAGCGTAAACGCAGAAAATGCCAGTGGAACAGTTCCAAATTTGGCGACTCTCGCTCTCTCCCTCTTGTTCTTCCCTCTTTTGCGCGTTTTTTTCTTTCTCTCTTTTTCTTTCCTGTAAGCACTTTTCCAACATCTCTGGGCCATTTTTTTTTATCAAGAGGAGGAGCGACGACGAGGATGGGTGTAAGGGGCGTGTTTTAGTATATAATAGTTCTCCCGGAGAAGTTTTGCCTGTCGCCTGGTCTTTGGGACAGCCTCTCACACATCATCTCTATTATAGCCAAACCAACTGGGAAACTAACTCACCTGCAATACCGCCAACCAAAAAAAAAAAAAAAAGAAAAAAAACTCCCCGCGACTTTGACTACTCTGATGCCATCTGACATGGAAACCCAGCAAAGATCCGGACACCACTCACTTTGCCACACCTGCCGGAGAACGGAGAGCTGCAGGATGAAGGTAACTGGAGCACGAATAGTTTCAGAGCCCCCCTCTCCGCCCCCTCCCCCTGCCCCCCGCCTCCTGTTTGAGCGGTGACAGGGCTCAGGCTGTGGGAAGAGTGGATATTTGTTGCGGATGGTGGGGTAGAGGGGGGCACATAGATGCTTGATGGCATCCAGTTTTCTGCATTTTGAGCAAGCGAGGTCTCTTGATTTGCATGCGGCAAGAGAAAGTTCAGGATGCACAAAGTACGAAGAGAGGATGGCTTTTTATACCACGACTAAAAAAAAAAAAAATGCCAAGAAACGAAAGCTTTTGGTTTTAATCTCCCCTGACCTGGATGGTGCGGCGTTTTCGCCGGACGCGGTCGCAAGAACAGCTGGTCGCCTTGCCAGCAGACAGGGGGCGGTAGGTCTGAGGGTCATTGAGCTCACTCCGGGGTGAGCAAGGGGAAATTATATGCTGAGTCTGTCTTTTTGGGGTAGTTAACTATCGAGCAGCCGGCCTTGCAACTTTCTGGGGGTGGGGGGGGGGGGGGGGTGAAGAGTTGTGTAAGAGAGTGAAAGCTCAGAGATACTGGCGACATTTTTTTCCTTTAGAATAAGCACTTCTTCCAGGTGCCAAACACATGACAGCAGCTGATAAAAATCGGGTACTTGGTGTTTGAGTGAGGTTATTTGATTTTATTTGACTCGCAGAGCAGACTCACCCCCCCACGAGTTACTAGGTCAGTGCGTAAAACAGCTTTTAAGACTTTAATCTCTTACATTACAAAACAAAACATCTGGCTACGATTTCAGTTTTCATATATTGTTTTTTTATTATTTTATTTTAAATGATTATAATAACGGATCACAAATCTTGGCAGTTGTCCACATCTTATGTCTTTATGCTTTTTAATGTATGTGTGTGTGTTTCACCCCTGCAGGTCAAGAAGATGTGCTCGACCAGCCGTGCGTTGCTCTTTGCGCTGGCTCTCACGCTCTACGTTGTGGAAATGGCCTCGGCAGAGACGTTGTGTGGGGGAGAGCTGGTGGATGCGCTGCAGTTTGTCTGCGAAGACAGAGGCTTCTATTTCAGTAGGTCCTTTTGTCTTTCCTTTTCTTCAGTGCAAGTTCCTCCAAAAAGCGGCCGGCGCAAATGTTGGTTTGCCGACTTTTTTTTTTTTTTTTTTTTTTTTTTTTTTTTATTTAACCCCCCCTCCTCCCCTCTCTCTCTCTCTCTCTCTTGCCCTTTTTCTAACTCTCTCTCTGTTGTTTCACATCTGTTTGGATAGCTGAGACTGTCTGTGGCTGCGTGGTATGCGTGTTTGCTATTTTTCTTTCTCACGCACTGACGCCCATGCAACACACATACACACACACACACACACACACACACATATACACACACACACAATCACACGCAAGCCCATGCGCGCAAACAGCGTCAGAGAGAAAGAGAGAGAGAGAGAGAGAGAGGCAGAGAGAGAGATTGCAGCCAGCTGTGCCTCTCCAGGTCTGCTCTGCTGAGTCTGCTCTACAGTCTGCACCTCTCATTGCATATGAAAGGGCCGGGCGGGCGAGCTGCGGAGGAACATGCGCGACACCGGCGACACAATGGGCGGCTTGTTTGTCAGTAAAGTAATAGCACCCCAAGAGGCATTACCAGTCACTCAGCACCACTATTCCCAGGCCAGGAGACCACACTGATGAGCTGCGAGGAGACAAAAAATGGAGACACACACACACACACACACACACACACACACACACACACACACACACACACACACACACACACACACGCACACACACAGAGAGAGAGAGAGAGAGAGAGAGAGAGAGAGAGAGAGAGAGAGAGAGATTGTTTATGCCAGAGTACAGAAAAGATCATCAACGTGATTTTATAATTTCTGATTGCTGCTTCCATTGTGTTGTATTGATGGTGGGTCTGGCTGAATGGCTTTATGAGGAGCATTGCCGTTAATCCTCACCAGGATAAGCTTCTGTTTGCTCTGTCGCCAATGCATGTGATGTAGGCCTACATAAGTTCCCCTGACAAAAAAAAAAAACTGGATTTGTTTAGGCATAGAATCTTAACATTTGCACTTTGTAATCCTACTTGCACTTGATATGATAAAATATTTATAACTCCAGTTATAATAAAGTTATTTGTTGGCCGTTGCCAAAGTTTGGCTGGGATTTTTCACAAGGCATGAATCAGAGTGTAGGGTCTTAAGATTATCTTTAGAAATTAAAGTAATCAGCAAAATAGAGCCTATAAACATCTTCTAACACGAGAAGTAGTTGTTGCATATTAATACAAATAATACACTAGTTGTTGATGTCATTTCCATTGTATTATCCTTCTGTTTAAACTTGCATACTAAATCTTATATTTGGGATCACAAATCTCCTCTTCTGATTATTTGTGTGTCAGAAGCTGGAAAGCTTTGGGACCAGTCAAATGCAAAACTTTATTATTCTTATAGGTGCTTAGTGCATACAGTAAATCAATGGTGGTATTCAAGTGCATATTTTGCCCTGTGAGGAGAATTACAAGTATAACAAGCTCATAAAGGCTGGTTGTTTAGTCAGGCTGTCTACTTAGGTATCCAACCTGCAGTCTGCTGGTCAACATGCCCTCTGCAGTTCCAAAATGGCATCCACTCTGTGTGAAACGGTACATAATTCCAAACATCACCACTTGACACTGATTTCAGCAAGCTGACCATCAGTGTGCAGCTGTAAGCAGTGTCCTGACAGAAAGTTTCAGTAGTGTTAAAACTGACTCAGTTCAAACCTGAAGTTTACATTGATAATGATAAACAGCCCAGCCATGCCACGCTGTGCAGACTCTCATTTTGCCTTTGAATAAATGAGCAGAGTAAACAAAATTGTATCCCAAAACTCCACTCAATCATTTCCCTGTTTTCCCTGGATGACCAGTTCTTCCTGTAATCAAATCTAGCTATCCTTCTTGTGAGATTGTTCCAGCTTAGTGAGGGCTGCCAGGTTTCAGACAAGGCCTTTATTGATCATGAGTAGTGTTACTTTGTGCAATACGATCACCTTTTCCAGCTAAGTGTTGCATCTTCTTCTGTTGTGTTTTTGGCATTCTTGCTTTCTGTTTATTCCCATTCATTGACAATTTAATAAAGCAGAAGTGAAATATTTGATTATTCTGAAGTACTTTCTAGCACTATCTCTGATTTCTGGTTCCTTTGAACATGGTGTTTACTTGAAACACACTCATTTTGGGATGCCCAGATATGCTTAATCAGATTATCCCTTACAACCAAAAATATTTGTTGCTGTTCGTCACAGATTTCCTTTTATCCTCTTTTCTCCAAGGTCTGCTACAACAATTGTTGAAGTAATCCTGCATAAACAACCCCAATTCGTTGCCGAATGCCATGTGTGTGTGTTTTTTTTTTTTCAGGCCTCAACCTTCGTCGCCTTTCTTACATTCCTGCTTTGTTTCTCCTCAGGTAGGCCGAACAGCAGGAATAGCAATCATCGGCGCCCCCAGAACCGTGGGATTGTAGAGGAGTGTTGTTTCCGTAGCTGTGACCTCAACCTGCTGGAGCAATACTGTGCCAAACCAGCCAAGTCCGAGAGGGACGTATCATCCTCCTCTCCAGAAGCAACAACAACAAAAACACAAAGGCTTGTCCAGGTCTCTTATCTGCCCTTCTATCTCACCTGAAACACAGAGTGCAGGCTGAAATCTACACAAAAACAGGTTTATCTCATTGCTAAGCAGTTGCAAAGTGCTGACCATTGTGGAAAACATTTGCGCAGTCAGAGTACATTATATTCTAGAGATCATATCGTCAATAATCTCATGGTTAAGTGCCTGAGTGCTGATCTGGAACAAAAACAGCGTGTTATGATTTTCAAAGAACAGAAAGCTGTCTAAAAATATTCCAATCCAAAAACACCTATCATGGCTCGAAGAGCTTTATTGGAATATACTTGAAATGTGGAATAGCTTAAAGACTCAACTCCTGAAACATCTTCAAGGCAATCTCAAAATGCTTAGTGCTTAAGATATGCGAAGAAAAAGCATAAATTATGCAGCTTTAAGATGTGAATTCTCTCTTTGACGGGAACCAAAAACAGGCTGCTGGGGAATTAGTTTGGACATGTCTCCAGTTTGTCTCAGTGGGGAGAGTTGATGGGTACAGCCTGCTCCGAGGGCCAGCTGTTCTTGGGGCTATTGAGCAGCTCTGTAGTGAATGGGGAGGGGTGGTAAACACTCTTCAAGTGGCAGGACCAAAACAAGCTATTCACATGGAGCGCTGGCTACTCACGCATAAATCCCAGCGAGCTCAGCTGCCAGGGCTCCCACTCGTCTCAATCTCTGGTGCTCACAACACCTACAACAGTTTGTCAGCATTAGCATAGATGTTCTAAAATGAGCTTCTTTGTTTGAGTGATAGCATGCCGCTCATATGTATATGAGGGAGAGTGACCGCCTTTCCTTTGTTACCATATGCTAAAAAGCCCAAGTACTTATTGACAGTTTCTCTCACTTGAGGTAGCCAAAACAAGGGCAGGCTGGAGGCGAGGCGAGGTTGTTTTGACGTTCAGCTCCATAAGAATGACATTTGATTTCCATTTTAGCAGTCCAAACAATGACCGAATGTTTTCGGGTAATAAACAAGGCTTTCCTCCATTGTAACAAGCACTTGAACAGTAATCTTATCTCCACTAATGAACCGACTTCCTCCTCTCCCTTTTTCCTCCTGCACGCCACAATAGGAAGCCCCAAGGAAGCCGCATGTGAAGTTTCCCAAATACGTGGTGTGGCCGAGGAGGGCGGCCGAGCGGCTCCGGAGGGGTGTCCCTGCCATCCTGAGGTCCAAAAAGTTTCGGAGGCAGGCGGAGAAGATTAAAGCCAAGGAGCAGGCCATCTTCCACCGGCCCCTGATCAGCCTTCCCAGCAAACTGCCCCCGGTGTTGCACACCACGGACAACTTAGTCAACCACAAGTGAGCCCGCTGCCAGCCCTTTGCACAGACAAGAGTATGAGGGTGACAAAAAAGACTAGGGGATTATAGCTTTGTCTCTGACGTCATTTCTGTGGCAGTCCTCTTTGACTTCCCCTGCCCTGTCAGGGCCCACCAGTCCCTCCCCCCCTGCTCTTGTCCAGTATGTCTTGAACCCTTGGCCCTTTCCTAATGCCCCCGAACCTCCTTTCCACCTAAACCTCAGCCACCCTCCGCTGGCATACGAACATGCCTTCACAATCTTCCTGCCCCCTCTTTCCTCCCCTCCTCTTTCAGTCACCGATACAAAAGGAACAAACACAAGAGTTGAACAGAACTCTAACAATTCAGCTGAATGCAATTCAGGTGGATCCCCGAGCAAAAAGAGAAAAAAAAGGCAAGGGGAGGGAGAAGGAAGATGAAAGAGATCTGTGTTTGCAAGTGTCAAGAGGACACCTATCATAATGTTTTTTTTTTCTTTTTTTATCCTGGTGGAAGACAACTGAAAGTGAAGAACGACTTGCATGAAAGAATCCATTCCACATCATTTTTTTTATTTTTTATTTTTCCCGAGGCAAAAGAAAACCTCTCTTAGTTATTTTTTTCTCTATTAGTTTGCACCTCTACCTATAAAGGGACTTCCACACTGTAAGGAATTATTTTGCAAAATTAGATTCCTGTTCCAGCACCTTTTTTTATCACAAACAAAAAGCAGAAAAGAGTCTGCAGAATTGCACATTGCCACGGATTACGTCAAAGTAAAGAAAAAAAAGGCACTATTTTTTTATGAACAATGAACGTGTAGCTTAAAAAATAAATGTCATGGTGCTAGCTTTGGGAATGGACTCAAAGAAGAGGTTGAAAGCATGTTTTTGTTTTCCTTTTTTTTTGAATGAATATTAAACTTTCCGTTTTAAGGAAAGTGTGACTTTAAAATGAAGAGAGGAAAATAAAGGATATGGGGGAGCTCCTGGCAGTGGCGCTGTCAAAAAGGGGGGAAGAGTCACTGAGGAAAAAAAAAAAAAACGGGCTGTGTTGGCATCTCGGCTCATGGCGAGTTCTAGTGGCTGCTCATTATTAGTTCGCCAGCATTAACAGCATGGAGAGGTGGCCCCAGACTCGGTCCTTGGTTCTCCTGTCCCTCTGATGCTGCTGGACAACAACCTTGGACACACGTGGGACACCGTGGACCCTCTGGACTATAGTTGTGAGACAGTACTTTCTGTTTGCCATGCTTTTGCAGACTGCTTCCACAGGAACTGACACGGCATGGACAAAGAACAAAGTGGGATGATAATAATAATGGTTATATTTTATTTTGTCTTTTTTCATATCAATGTCTCATTGAAAAAAAAAAAAGAAAAAAAAAAAAAAAAAGGAAAACCCTGAACAGTTTCTGGTACCGTGACATTCCTGTTTTTCCAAGTTAGGCATTTAAAAAAAATTTTTTTTGGTTTGTTTTCATGGTTATTGTTATTATATCATTTTACAGTTTAAAAGAAAGGCACAAAATGTTAATTCAAAGGGAAAAAAACAGCAATATTGTCAACTAACATTTTTATTTTATATCAGTAGTATTCACCTGCTTTTGCCTGAAAACAAATACTTGAAAATACAGTATATATATCTATGTATGTATAAATGCATATAAAGATATATATAGATATATATAGAAATATAATTAGTTTCCAGGGATGTTATTTTCCTTTTAGTCTGAGCTGTATCTTGCATAATGAGCCGCCAAGCTTTTGTGTTTCTTTTTTTTTGTTTGTTGAAATACAAATAAGGGCACTGTATAAAGGCATTATTTATTTTGTTATAAAATATATTTGAAGAAAATTGGTCCAAATAATATACGTAGCACTGATGCTCAACTGACAGATTTATTTTGTATGATCTCTGTTTTTCCAATTGGAGTTGTAAGGCTTTTTTGTAGATGCTTTGTACCAAAAATAATGTCATTTTTGTTTTTCTTTTTCTTTTTTTTTCTTCCTCATTTTGAAGTAGTTACCATAAATTAATATTTTTTTAACAGCAGCATATAGCGTGGATTGATTAAGGCGTAACGTTTCACAGAAATAGGCACATATACTCTGAAATAGGACGGTCAGCATGGATTTCCAGAAGCGTCAGTGTGGGAGCTTCTTCTTCCTTTTCTTTCCCCAATTATTGGTTAATGTTGATTGTAAATCAAACCCACTATGTTTTTGAAGCCACTTTAGTATTGATGACCAGGCGTAATTAAATGGGAAAGACATCCAATGATCTTGTGAGGACCGTCTTTTTGGTTTAACTTACATGTGACTCAGACAAGTCATTGTATAGATGCCCTGATGATGTCACGGTGATGAAAGCAACAAGCGAGTGTGAACTAGAGGACACTGTCAAATAGAAAATCTCTCTCTCTCTCTCTCTCTCTCTCTCTCTCTCTCTCTCTCTCTCTGTCTGTCTGTCTGTCTGTCTGTCTGTCTGTCTGTCTGTCATTTTGTCCATGGCGTTGGAACGTGTTGGGTTACATTCACTCCTCATAATCCCACTAATGCATCCATTATGCATTCGATGAAGGGCTATCACTCTGAAGCATTTCTGATGCATTCAGGCTAAGATGTTGAGTTGCTGCTGAGTTAAAGTTATAATCTCCTCATTTCTACCCTTTTCTGGTCACAATGCCGCTTTCTTCTGTTGACAAACCACTAACGGGGGCCACGTTAGTAAAAAAAAAAAACAATCAAAAAAAAATATGAGTAAACAACATATATTTGTGCCACGGTAGTTTTCACCTCCTTTCCTCGTCTGGGTCAAACGGCTTGCCCTGGAGCTGAGACTAAATGGATGCTCGCCATAAAGTACTGTGGCGTAGAGTGGAGAAAACACTTTACGTCTTATTTCTGTTTGAGAGAGCTGAGTGTCTGATTATATTTTACTTCAGTTGTGCAACAAAAGCAGGCAGTGCAATTATAATAAATGTTATATTATTATTATATTTTATATTTTTCCTGCTAGGACTGCATTCATTCACTATTGTAATGTTCAAACAGGCTACTCTAGTGTTGTTATGAATGGCGTGAAAGACAACCACTTCTTCTTTTCGCTGAATATGAAGAGATGACTCGCAGAGCGAAGGCAACATTTGTCTGTCAGTAGCTCATTCAAGCCTGTGTATTTTATTGATTTAATCTCTGCACGCTCGATCGTCCGAAATGCACAATTCATGTACTTTCATTTTTAATATCAATAAAAAAAAAAACATTTTATCAAACATATTTGTGGCTTAAGAATTTACTATGTGTTGTTTTTTGTTTTGTTTGATGTGTGTTTTCAGTTTTAAGTTTGTGGTGAGCCGAAGGGGAACTTCTGGGATATTTTTATATCAGTTAAACTTTGAGCACCGTTCAAATGATTTGTCACATCTTGAGATGTCGGAAAGAATCTCCGGCTGTTTAACTGCCCGCTCAACCATATGGTTTAGCACATTTTGGGTCTCTGTATCTCCATATGAGGAGTGCCTAACTTAGCTTAACCTGATTGAGCCATCTCTGCCGCTTGGTTGAGGTATGATATGCTAAAGAAATCAACTACAGGGCACTGTTTCTTTAAATAGTATTCTTCTTCTTCCCCTCTCCAACTAGAAAGTCAGAAACACAAAAAAATCTGTCACAAATATTAACTGGTTGTGGTAAAACTTTGAAAGGCAGGAATAGTTTTCTGGCATATGATAGTGTTATAGACCTTACTAAACAGAATTATGTTACTTGATACCACCTAAAAAGCTAAATTAGAGGTTTAATAATTTTTTCAAAATATGCTTGACCAAACGGTTGATTTGTCACTTGATGGTAAATGTAGCAAATCAAGGTAATTTAGTTAACTTTTTTTTTTTTTGCTATAAAATCAAAAGTCATTTTCATCTATTGGTGTAAATTGGAAACAATAAGTGTTATTACAATGTTATACACTAAGAATAATTATAACATCATCCATCCATCCATTTTCTGGCCACCCTTCTCCCTAACGGGGTCGGGCCTATCACCAGCTGCGTTCCGGGCGAGAGGCGGGGTTCACCCTGGACAGGTCGCCAGTCTGTCGAAGGGCAACACAGAGACAAACAGGAGAAACAACCATGCACTCACACATTCACACCTAAGGAGAATCTGGAAAGCCCAATCAACCTGACAGTCATGTTTTTGGACTGTGGGAGGAAGCCGGAGAACCCGGAGAGAACCCAGGCACGCACAGGGAGAACATGCAAACTCCGTGCAGAAAGACCCCGGGCCGGGAATCGAACCCAGGACCTTCTTGCTGTATAACATCATCTTACAAAATAATTTTTGTAATAATTTCTTCCTTTGGGAGCAAAAGTGGTGCCAACACTCTGCAAAACGATAAAAGAGCCCCACCTGTCAGTTGTCTTTTGTGATAACTTCTTTACAAGTTTCAACTTGGTTTAGTACCTGCACACTGCCCTTGGCGTCAAGTGCATCAGCACCGTATGACCGAACTGCACTGGTGGAGCTCCATTGATGACAAAGTCCTGATTCAAAGGGGGCGTGGAGCCTGTGACTTTAGGGCCGCTGAAGGGGTTCTTCCAGTGAAGTGGTTGGATAACAAATGGGTCAACTTGCTTATTAAAGCCTATGGGATCATGCCCTTTTCAACAGTGAAACACTGAAAAACTGTTGCACTTTAGTACAGATACAATCAAGATGGGAAAACTAAAAATGCAATATTTCCTTGTTCGATGCAATGTTTTCCTTGGTTGAAATTAAAACCAGTGTTGTGTAGCATTTTGACAAACATAAACTGTATCCAATGTCCCAGACATTTTGTTATTGTTAATTTCTTTATAAATTTGCATTTTATTTTAATTTATCTACTGTACTAGGTATTTTTATTACATCATGTACTTAAACCTTTAAGTGACATCTCAACCGTTTGGTAGAGATCAATATTTTAAAAACCACAGGGTCTGTTGAAAAAAAAAATTGATTGTGTTCATGAGTCACCCAAGGGTAAAAGAAATGCAAAGAAAAAATTTTTCACAGGTTATTTTCTTGGTGTGGTTGTTAAAGGGTTCTATTTTCCCTCCTCTCCCTGTTTTCGTTTAGTCATCTCCCTGCCTGCGCAGCTGCTTGTCTGTTCTTGTATATCTGTCACTTATTCCTTAAATCAGCACCCACAAAATTTCAAGTCGGATGCCCACAACTCCTCTGTTATTCCTTCTCAGCATGCATCCCCTAAATCGAACCCATTGGTTTTTTTGAGTGTCTGACACACCCGTCCATCCTCTATTGTGTCTTCCAGTGCCAGGCAGCTTAGTTTAGCAATTGGTAGTTCTGAAATTATCACATGCATTCTGAAAACACCACATCTTTTCATTAGAGAATATGGAGCCACACACCCTCTCATGGGATATCTGTTACTAGGCAGATTTTCAGACTGAAAGCATTTGAGGGACTGAGGTTATCTCAAGTTTGCCACAGTTCACGGGAGCTTTTCATTCTAAGTTTTATCTTGGCTCAAAAAAGTTTGGACTTAGCGCCCAGAAATGCAAGAATCTATTTTTCCTCTGGCCATAAAGTAAGGTTTTTGTCTTGCAGTGATGAGATGCACATGTGTTCTCACTGGCAAAGTGGAGAGGCATGTTTGGCTATCGTTGCAGGAGCTCATGTTCTGTGTTTTATGGTCATAAATTGCTCTATTAAATCACCTTTGAGACAGGACAGACGGTGCACGTTCACACACATCAGGTACATACCAAGCATTTGCATGTGATCATCTAAAAATTTCCATGAGTTAACTCTCTAAGCAAATGAATGCAGTTTTTTTTTTCATTCATGTGGTTTGATTGATGAATGAAGTATTGGCGCTGACTGTTTAATAAGTAACTTTCATTGACTGTGTGCTTTAGAGGAAAATAAAAAGGCACACATTGAATCAACAAGAAACAGAACTTTGTTTGCTCAGCTGAAATATATTGAGTTCTGGAAGTATTGCTTTTATTTATCTATGCTGAGAAAACATAATTCTTTAAAAGTAAAACCAATAGGTGTTTTGTTTTGTTTTGTTTTGTTTTTTTCAGGTGCATGTGTGTGTGCTTGTTATATCACTCTCATTTTGTAAGGCCCTTTTGTCCCACAAATGCTACCTAGTGAGGACCCAATACTCCATATGAAGAAGGGCAGTTTTTGGTTTGGAGGTTAATATTTTAACTGATTTTATTTTAGAATTAGGGAAGAACTAGGAATGGTTAGGTTTGTGCTACGGTCAGGCTTATTCTCTAGAAATTAATAAAAAAATGAATGGAAGGCAATAGGGCCCTTATGAAGATAGAAAGATATAACACATGTGTGTATTCTTGGAAACCTGCTCCTTGCAGATGCCTCGAGTGACTAAATTGTAAAGATACGATCGATTTCCTTTCATGACAGGATACTGCCTGGCAGGACATAAATCAACCTGATTTATGTCAGGTTGATTTACAAGCTGTCAGCGCCGGTGAAGCTGGTGATGTGGTTTAGTGGCATGGCTTCAAAGAGGTGATTAAAATATAGAGGAGTTATGAATCTAGCAGTTGTACAAACATCTCAAGGGAACTGGGTGTGTGGTATGCATGCAAATAAAATAAGTGCATTCTTGACAAAGTCAAGATACATCTGAGGCCAGGATTGTGAAGTCACCAGAAATGAGCAAACATTCGGGGGATGCCAAGGGCATCTTCAGAGCGTTCTATGTGAGGTGGCCAGATGGGGTGTTGGGCACTCAAAAGGCTTGGAAAAGCCACAATTATATATAAATCTAATTGGTTTTACAGTATATCACTTTGTCAGATGTTAAAATTTAGCTAAATAAATAAAGTTTGCATCATCATTCTGAAATAACCTAACACTCTGTTTTGAAGTACAAATATACTGTAAAATTAGCTGATTTGATATGTTACAAGTAAGCTACCTTACACAGGATCCTTGTTGCTTGTAGAATTGATTTTAAGGTCCTTAGTTGGACATTGAAAGCTCTTTATAGACTTGCGCCAATTCACATTATGAACTTTCATTGTAATTATATTGCATACACTTCGGAACATAATAGGCATTTACTGCCAATTTACAAAATACCCACCACAGCAGCTATATACTATGTAAAAAAATGGTGTAAAATAATTGCCAAATGATGCTTTGGAAGCTATTTCATTAAATAACATTATGGCTTAAGATGATCATTTTACCTTAGCTTTTAGGGATCATTATTAGTTTCATTATTGTTGTTTTTATTTTATAATTCAATCATAAAATCCAACCATAGGTTTTATTAGATTCTGCAATGCTCATTGTGCTTTGAATGGATTTTTATATTTTTGTATTTGAACAAGCTTTGTGGGGTTTGCGTAAAATACTTTGAGTTCGATTCAAATTTCTAAAAAAATCTGCAAAAGATTTACTTTCTTACAAGCTCTTCTTGCCACCTGAAATATTGTATGCCCATGAAATTAAAAACCTTATAGTCCTTCTATTTTTAATTTTCTTTTACCTAGAGATGTTATCCTGGTGTTATTTAAGAAGTGGGCCAGGACCAGAGTGAAAGACAAAAACGGGGATGCTATGAAGGATAAAAAAAGAAAACGGGAATAAATAAGAAAAAAAAAACAAATAAAGAAATGATTAAATGATCAAAACTTGTCCTTTACTCTCTAAATTTCATGCATAGAATCATTACGCATCTCGGCCTGCCTGACCAATGATGCCCCACCTTTAATTTAACTGCTGGAGCTAAATGAGTTGAACAACATGATCTGTTACATCCGTCCCTATCATAGAGGCTTTGTGAACTTCAGAGCAGAGTGTAGATGTGGGTGGCACTGCTCCTCCAGGCTTGACATCGGAGACTGCCAAAGAGCACACTGGAGTTAGTTGTGGTTGGCCGGATGCACGGGATGCATGTTAGGCCTGGCCAACTATTGAGGCACAGGGTTTGGCAGGTCCGGACCATCGCAGCCCAGCGTGGCCACACAGGCCAATTAAGATAGCCCTCCTCTGCTCCTTTTTTCTCCTCTCCCCCTCTGTCTCTCTATCTCTCACTTCCCTCTCTTTATCTATTACTTTGTCTGTTGTCCGCTCCCTCTCTCAATCTCTCAGTCCTCACAAAGCATGGTTGCACATTCCTCCTTTGCCCACTTTTCCTCTCTAATTGCTGTGGACTGAAAAGAGGATGGAGGGAAGGCAATGAGATTGAGAGAATGAGACAGTGAGAGAGAGAATTAGGAGAAAAA